CATCGCCGTCCTCCACTGCGGAAGCTCGCCCGCCTGATGCTGTGGCTCGCCCGCCCGCCCGCGCGTCCCTGGAAGCAACAGATGGTCCATTACAGTTTCCCAGAAGCCCCAACGCACAGCTCCCTTTCTTTACCTTTTCGGGCCCGCCCGGACTGCCCGTTGCATCTCCTCCGGCGAGGGCCGCCGCTTCGGTCGCCATACCAGCGACTACAGGAAGCCGTTGCACGGGCTCCCGCCGCGCCGTTCCTTCCGCGAGCCTCTTGCCCCCGGCCTCCGCCTCGTCGCCTCCCTCCGCCACCGTCCATTTGCGCTTCTTCTCGCCGCCGTTTTCCGGACAGAGCGCTGCGCCTCGCGGTTCCCGCCGTTCGAGATCGCTCCGCGAGCGCTTCGAAGGAGGCGCGTGCGGGAAAGAGCGCGGCTGGCAAGGCGCGCGACAGGCCACCGCCTCCGCTCTGCGCTTAGCCATCAAGGCCGGCTTGGCCAGCTCCGAGGGCTGCTTTAGCTTCATTGCGCAGGCGTTAACTGCTGCAAACGGGGCGGGGCTACTGGAAGAGCGCACAATACAGTGTGGTGCTTTTGGGTTGTTCTCCGGTCGCCTGCGCCCTCTGTCGGGGAAGTAATAAGTAGCTGTGCATGCCCTGCTTCTTTTTATTCTTGATGGTTAGGAAATGTCCTGGTCCTTGGTAAGCTTTTTTTTTTTTTTTTTCATTACCCAACTAGGTAACATCATCAATGTTAGCACGGAGACGGCTTTGCTCTCATTTTGTGTTCTGGTGGTTTGCTCTTTCAGTGTGGATGGGAGTGGTTTTAGATGATTCCTTGGCTGGGCTATTTACTGTCAGCTTGCTTGGGATATTGTTCCCTGTTTGATTGTTGGTCTGTTGGTCTAATGTTAATCTTGGTATTAATCTCTGCTCATTTAGGTGTTGATTGCTGGTGAGAAGATGTTTGGTCTTTTTGTTCCCTTTTTTTGCTTGTTGATTGCCTCTTTTGAATGGTCTGTAGGTGGGGCTTTATGTGTGTGTGTGCCTGTTGATGGCCGATTTGTCACAATGCCAGGCTTCCAGGAATTATCTAGTCTTTTTGGACTTAGCCTGATCTGGGATGCTCAGTTTCCCAGTAGGAACTATGGTTAAGTCTGTCCAGATGTTATGAAATTAAGGAAACTTCTAACTGCTAGCTGTTCTTCATGGAAACTTCCTGCCAGTCTTCTGTCTTACATAGTGGCTGTTGTGTAGAGCAGAGGTCCCCAACCTTTCCGGCTCTAGGGACCACAGGGGGGGGGGGGAAGAGGGGATGGTTCTGTGTGAGTGGCGGGCGAGTGTGTGTGTACACAGCTCCATTTGCACAAGCAGTGAGCATGCTTGCGCGAATGGAGCTATGTGCGCAGGCTCTCCCGCCTGTTGTACGTGCAAGTGAAACTGCACGTGCCCCTTGCACTCACCTACCGCTTCCACAACCTAGTTCTGAATGGGCTGTGGCCTGGTAGTGGCCTGAGGACCCCCGATGTAGGTGGGTCTAGGATGGACTAGGAATGAGATCGAGAGGGCAGATGGGAACATTGCTGTGGTGAAACAGTGAAGAAGATGCAACGCTCAAGATGGTTCTTGGGGTCAGCCAATTTGATATCTTAATGTAGACCACGGGTGTCCCAATTTTTTGGCTTGGCTGGGCCTCTGAGTCAAAAGGAATTGTCTTGGGCCCCATATAAAATATATAGTATAATAATGTATATAAATATCGTATGTTAAAAGTTTACATCTTGTGGGGCTGCATTATTAGCTGTCAGAGACTGCATGCGACCCATGGTCAGCAAATTTTATATGCTTGCTCTAGAGAGTAAGGAATACGTTGATGGACATATGTAACTTTATTCCCAATCAGCAAAAGTTTTTCCCCCAGTTGTTGGGCATATTTATTTTTGCAGCTACCAACATGTAGCTTAACGAATTGTGATATATTTCATTTAGATGTTTTGGAATTATCTAGTAATAAAATAGGTTTTGATTAAAACTTTCTCTGTAGAATTTTGCAGAGTATTTTGATGTATTTCTTTCTACTATTTGCATTTTTTTCTTTTACATGACCACAGCTGGTAGAATGTTCCTATTTTATCATTCCCAACATTTATTGTTATATGATTTGTCTATTTTGAAAACTGTTGGCTTCCTATACCAAGCATACAACATTTTACATTAATTTTCCATTAAATTGTATATTGTAGTAAACGGTATTGATTTTTCTCCATAGCTCTTCCCATTATTTTACTGCGATTTCATCTTTAAAATTTTGGAAGCAGGCATTTTCTTTAGGAAGTGTGCATCTATGGAACAGCTTCCTTTCTCTTTTTGTTTTTCCAGAAAATTATTAAAAGGTGATTTTTCAAGGCCTTTGAGGAATAGAGTAACAGTATATTGTTTACCAAATACTGGCACCACCAAATACATTATTGTACTGTATCTGTTGCATTGTCATTGTTGTTTAATATAACAATGGTGTTGAACTACCTTCATCTGTGTATAATCTGTCTGACAGTGGAATGGTGGGGTCCAAACTCTTTGGAAATGGTTTTATAAAATCTTTTCCAGATTAGTGAGTATCAGCAGCTGGGTTTTTCTTTCTTTTCTTTTTTTTTTTGAGATCCTCCAAAATCTCTTGTTTGATCCACGACAAACTTCTACATACCTACATTGTGAAAATCAGGCTTTGCTAATGAATACCCAGGATTTTGTAATTTAAATGAGGCAGGATAAGGGTTCACAAGCTTTCAAGCACCACTATATGTCATTTCCAGCTAATAAAAAGATGATGAAAAGGTATTCAGAGATAATTTACACAATGGAAACAAGGTCAGTAATACTGAAAAAAACAACAAAATAGTGGTCATAGTTGCACTATCATTACAGAAGAAAATTAAACTTCACTTGCTACATTACTTGGAAGTAATGTTGCAAGAATATATTTGCAGATAGTTGCAAAGTCACTATTTGAAATAAAGGATACTTTACGTTTTTAATTTACTTTCATTTAATGGGGCTGCATATGTACCTTTTAATGTTATACACATGATCATAAAATGATCACAACTGCCAGCCTGTTTTGATCAAAATAGATAATTTTCTATTGTGTGCAAATATACAAAGAGTATGCAAACATACATGTAAGAATTAACAAAGATTAACCCATAATAGTTCTATTGTAAGATACAGAATATGAATTCTACGTATCAGTTTTGGAAAATGAATCCTAATTCCCAATTTTCAGAAATCTTTGCCATATTTGTATTCTGAAAGTATTGAACATGTAGAAGAAAAAAATCCTCAAAAATTAGTTACTGCTGAATTTCAAAGTGTACACACAAATACCTTACATGAAAAGTGGAGTTCAAATGGGGAATGGAAGAGAATTGAAAAGAAAATGTTAATTTAATGACTTAAAAGGTTAATACTTGCAATTTTAATAAGAAATATAAAAAGCAAATAAATCTGATGAATTTAAAACACTTGATGTACAATAAAAAATATTTGACCACTGATGCATAAAATACATGAGTTCCAAAGTAGTTTCAGACCGTTTAAGTTGTAAAAGAGCATTTTCTAGAAGTGAAAGGTAGACACAGAAATTGTGTCCTGCATTTAGCAAAGATAGGAGGAAAATATCAATAGAACAATCTAATATCCACTGAGAAATGACCCCCTCTTACTTCAATGGGACTTAGGTAAGTTTGCACTGAAAGGCAACTTTGAACATGTATCTACCTAAGTTACTGGGGTAACACAATGAGTAGCGCTTGCTCTAATATGGGAATTCAGTTTTTCTTAAAAGATCAATTAAAACAAACGCACAAAGTTTTCATATTCTGCAATTTATACTTAGCCAAGGAACTTAACAAGCAAATCTGAATTCTGACTTTTTGCACTATGAGTTTAAATAACTAACAGCGTTGCTCATAGAGCAATATATTCTATTTCTAGTTCAAGTACAGCAGGAAGCAAAATTATTCTTTAATCTTTCAACTTCAAAAAGAACACATAATAAGTTAACTAGGCCTTAGTAGCATATGAGAAAACATAAATCTCGATTCTCTTGCACTATTTGGTATCTCAAAAGCCAGTCATGTACTAAGAAGATTCTATCTTCTTAGCTCAATTCACTGGAAGCATTTTGGACTATATTTGCAAGCTAAGTTGATATATTAAATGGATAGAAGGATGCCTAACTTCTTTGTTTTCAGATGGTACATTAATTTCCATAAATTTACCTAGGATTAATTTTAAAGAAATCTTGCATAAACTGTACTTAAATAACTAGAATTCATGGCAGTGAATGATGCATAAATTCGAACAGAGCTGCACTCAAGTTATGTCTAGTAAAGAGTAATCATATGGTAATTAGTGCAAAATTATGACAGATTCCAACAAGTTACATCATGAGATCTAGGACTGATAGTACATTTCTCAAAACATAATTATCCAGTTTGTTCACATACGTGTGTCAACATATCATAATGTGGGGCAGTTCAGCACAATTACCAATAGCACAGTCCTAAAAGAACTATAGAGAGAAGTTGGTTTTACTACATATGAACTTGTTCTATCAAAAAATAATGCCTTAAAATTACAATATGGATCAATGCTAGATATCTTTTAGGAATACTTACAGATCATCATTTTGGGATTTATGACAAAATATTACAAACCTAACTACAGTCTCATTTAGGCAAGTAGTAAGTTTATAATAATAGCTGCCATATCAGTTTCAAACTATTTATCCATATGCTCAACATGGTATGAACAAATGCGACATCAATTTTGTTTATAAAATTCTTATGAGGACAAATGTGAGGTTTTTTAAAAAAATGTTCTTACTTTTTCTAAGGCTTTGAGATGTAAACAGCCACATTCACATTATGCTTTTTGCAGTATTTGCATTTTTTTGGGGGAAAAAACCCCTTTCAGAAAAATTGCTAAAATACTGATCAAAATACTTTAGGTGAAATTTATATTTGTTTTCTAAACAATATGTGTGTGGTGAGGGGGGTTCAGTTTTGTATCCAGTAGCGTTTCTTTCAGACAAAGGTATATTATGGAGTGATGAATGTCAATAATGTATTAAAATACCCATCTTTCCAAAATTACCAATTAAAACAGAAAGAGCAGATACATAAATATTTGAATTCCCAAATGACCCAAATATAAGTAATGCAGAAATGCATGTCTGGATATCATAAGGAGTGTAGAAAATAAAGAGTGTTACATTCTGTTAGGAATAAAAAGGCACCACTAATAAGAGGCTGGGTCCAGTCATCCCTTACAGGCCACTTCATGTTCTGCTAACATTGTTAACAAAAATGCCAGCAATGTTCTTTTTGGACAGTCCGTTTCAGATACAGCTTTCTGGTTTCCTAACCACAAACATCACACATTCATAATAGTATTTCATCATAGATAATTCATTCACAGTGTATGTTGTCAAAACAGATTCATTCTCCATCTGAAAAATAAACAGTATTTTCTTCAGTTATCTGCATTTCATTACAAACATGAAATGCTAATGTAATGCTACACAACTGAAATTTGTCAGGTCAGTATAGGGTAAAAAATTATTTAATCTCATTTGTTCTTCTCAGCTACCCTTCTCTTCCTTTAGAACATGTCCGTGAACAATTAGGGATCAATTACTATGCCTCTCTTGTCCCGCAACACGAACATTTACTCTCTCCTTCTCTCCAGTAACACATGCATGTTCCATTTATCCTGGGAGTTTACAGGTTCTTTTACTCTATTTTGTTTTTATTCATAGTCCCCATCTATCCATCCATCCACCTATCCATCCATCCACCCATCCATCTTTGCATTTTTTAGGCAGGTCTAAATGTGCAAAAATCATGTTCTGATGATCTGATTTTTTTAAAAAAAATATTTTTCTTTTTTGCCCAAAGGACACTTTACTCCCAAAGCTTCATTATGGAATATTGACAAATCAATAACCTTGTTACTATCATAGTAACTAATCATGTTATGAAGAATGGACAGAATAAGGAATTATATATTAACATTATTATTAGAATGTGAAAATCAACATTTCTTACCTCAATATGGAATCCATATTGTAATATTACACTTTTTATATCCTCATAGCTCAATTCAATAGATAATTCATTTGCTAAATTTTCAAAATGATAAAGAAGAGGACCTAGGACATATTAGAAAAAACAGCAACTTTATTAAATTCTTCTGAGATCAAGAATAATTTATTAATTCTTTTTTTAAAAAAACAACAACAACTGCCCAGTAGCTGAAAGTCTTCAGGCAGTTTACAATTAAGTACACTAAAATACAGTCTGAATAAAAAATATAAATTAAAATCCAAAATAAACACACCATATAAATTAGACAACTGTACTGTGGCCAAAGACTAAAACAATGCAAATATAAATAATATAAAAATCCTGGCAAAATGGAAAAGTCTTCTCTTGGCACTGAAATTATGCTAGTATGATCATCAGTCAAGTCACTTTGGGGAAAGAACTCCATGAATGGGGTCCTACCACAAAGGTTTTCCCTCTGACTTTACCTCCTTTAATGAAAGGAGTTAGAAGAGGGACTCCGTAGATGATCTGAAGGCCTGGGTATGTGCACAGGTAAGTAGTACCTGAAGCAGATTTGCATTTTCTTCTAATTTAAAGGTAGATTCTGTTGTTCTAAAATGTTTTATAAGATCCTTCTGGCAATCTATTTTGAATTGTAATATCTGAAATGATATAGGTAGGGTCTACACTGCTTGAGCAGGGGGTTGGACGAGAAGACCACCAAAGTCTCTTCCAGTTCTATTCTGATTGATTGATTGATTGATTGGTTTCTTTCCCCAAAAAGACTATCAAAAGCCATAATCTATAAACTGACAATGCTCTTAATTCAAAGGGTTTATATCAAGCTGGAATTCCCTCGTATCATACTTAAAATTACAATGTACAAATACTGCAGTCCTTTTATTAAACTCAAAAGATCTAGTAAATTACCTAAATTGATCCATATTCCTCCTGGTTTAAGTATTTTCCATATTGTATCAATGTAATCAATGACATTGTGTGCCGTGTCTATGAAGAAACAGGTTGCTATGCAGTCCCATATATCTGTATATAGAAACAGAAACAGAGAATAATCTAGCTATGTAGTGCAGCTTGCAGGTACCATCAATAAGAAGTGATAGTTATCTGTGCTCACTTCAGTGTCTTAATTTTCACCAATTTCCTAGGCTGCAACTGTGTGGTATAAATAGTAAATTCTAAAGAGTCTACTTTTGCAGAACAATCTAATATATTCATAATTTGTAGAATTTAACCATTTGATTTTAACTATAATTAGCCTAAACTAGCAAGAATCTGTAGTAATAGTACTTAATTTAGACATTACTAGTAGTAGAGAAAACAAAACGAAAAGCAGAAGATGCTCCCTCAAGAAGCTTGCAACCATTTAATGAAAAAGGTAGCAATGACTTCTGCTTCCAAAAGTCCCCCCTGTGTAAAATCTTTTTAGAGGAACTATCAGTTCAGTTGATTGGTTTGTCCTTCTGTCAATGCACACAGCCATGTAAAGGTAAAATGAAATCTAGTCAAATGTTAAGCAAGACCATTTCAACCACTGTGTTCTGCATTTGTGTTTTTTGTAAGTTTTTAACATAAAAAACTTGAATCTATTTTAAATCATTATTTGTTCTGTAGATGGTACTGTTAAAGTGATTCTGGTTTACAGGTAGTCCTTGACTGATGATGGCAATTGGGACTGAAACTTATGTCATTAAGCAATGTGGTCTTAAAGCTCAACCTGCACTGCCTAATAAAGCAATCCGTGCAATCCTGGTTGCCATTGTGAACTGAATCTCACAGTCGTTAGGCAAGGCACGTTCCTGTCAGCTTACTACAACCAAGTCAATGGGGAAGCCAACAGGAAGTTGCAAGTTCTGGGTGGTTTGCAAGCAGCTGGCAGGCAGGTAAGTGGCTGCTGCCAGGAATGGAAGAATATAAGGTGCACAGTAGTGTACAAGGGAGGTACGTAAGGGTGCAAAAGAAGGCAGGCAAGGCTCCAGGGGTTTCCAGAAGTATATGAGAGGGGCATGGCAAGATTTGGGAAAGTGAGCAAAGATGCATGAGTAGTGGGGAGGTATGATGAGGCACAGGAAAGCTGCATGGGGATATGCAAGTGGCCAATGACACATGAGTGCAAAGGGGCTGGGGAAGGGTGCAAGGATGAAGGAGACTTACTGCAGCAACTTGTGACCTTCCCTGCCAGCTTCCCCATTGACTTTCTGGGGAAGCTAGCAGAGAAGGTCATAAAAGGCAATAATGCCGTGGGGCACTATTAATTGTGATCACAGGGGTGCTGGGATGGCCAGACCTCTGAAGCCTGCTTGTAACCATCATTTGTTAAGCATTGTCATAACTTTGAATGGTCACTAAATAAATGGTCGTAAGTTGAGATTTATCTGTATTCATGTTCTATCTGGGAGAAAAAGAAAAACAGGCTGATCAAATCTGATTATTTTGCACAAAGACTTTCCTGCTCTCTGTTGTAATGCTAAAGCACGATCAAGTCTTATTTGCTAACTGATAAAACAACCCCAAAACAGATGAGATCAGAGAGTCCTCTAACAACTAAATATCTTTCAGTAAAATCATAAGGCACTTTAACAAACGGAGATGTATTCTTTTTTTAAAAAAAAAACTTAAGGCTTTTTAAATTATTTACAGAAATAATTTTAATTATCTAACATGAACATGTCTTGTTTTTGAGGATTTGACAAATTTCATTTCCCAAGTCTAGTTCCTGCCCCTCCCCACTTACTACTCTCAGAGTAGATTTCTCGAAAATCGCCTGCTGTCATAGAAAAGTTGGCACCAGGAGGAAGACTGTGAGGGTCAACATCCGGGAAATAAATTGGCTGTGTTTGATCAGCAGATCTCCTGTTATTGCTAAACTGATGAATCCAGGGATATAATTTATATGAATTAGTTTCACAGCATCTGTAACATATAATTACCAAAAAGTTGTTATTTATTATTAAAGAATACAAAATGTAATATTTTTATTTTGTGTTCTTTAAAACAGGGCTTTTCAACCTTTTCAGAGATTGTACCGCTTTTAGGACATGACAATATTTGAGTACCACCAGTGCTTAGCAAGGTGTCAAAAATTTGATGACTAAAAAAAAAAGGGGGGGGGATTTTGGGCTTTACTGTTAGATTCATTTGTTGTTATAGAAATGGCTAGTTTATAATATTATGGAAAAGTAAAAAGTTGAGGTTCAATATTAATGCTTCCTTCTACTGCAAGAAAGTCGGAAGTCAATGCCTTTTCTTTTTCCCTTCTCCCCCTCATTTTTTCCTTTTTTCTTTCACCCTTCGCTCGCAAAAGCCCCTCACTCTCTCACCCATTCTCCCAGAAAGCCTTTCCTCCATCTCTCTCACACTTCTCCCAGAAAGCCTTTCCTCCGTCTTTCTCACATTCTCCCAGAAAGCCTTTCATATCTCTCACACATTCTCCCAGAAAGCCTTTCATGTCTCTCACATTCTCCCAGAAAGCCTTTCCTCCGTCTCTCTCACACATTCTCCCAGAAAGCCTTTCATCTCTCTCACACATTCTCCCAGAAAGCCTTTCCTCCGTCTCTCTCACACTTCTCCCAGAAAGGTCTTTCCTCCGTCTCTACACTTCTCCCAGAAAGCCTTTCATATCTCTCTCACACATTCTCCCAGAAAGCCTTTCCTCCGTCTCTCTCACACTTCTCCCAGAAAGCCTTTCCTCCGTCTCACACTTCTCCCAGAAAGCCTTTCATATCTCTCTCACACATTCTCCCAGAAAGCCTTTCCTCCGTCTCTCACACTTCTCCCAGAAAGCCTTTCCTCCGTCTCTTTCTCACACAGTCTCCCAGAAAGTATTCCCCCCCCTCTCTCCTCACTGCTTCTCTGACAAAAGCTTTTTCTCTTATGTCTCTTTCTCTGGAGTCTTTCTCTCTCTCTCCCTCTCTGGCCAAAACCGCCTCCTTTTATAGCCTCTCCCGTCTCCGCCCCTCCTCCTCCTTTCTCTTCTGGGTGAGCCGGAAGTGCTGAGCCTGGGGCCTTTGTCTTGGCCCAACAGCCCTGCAGCTCCTGAGGACTCTCTCACAGCAAATCCTGTGCTGCGCCGCTTTAGCTCGTTCGCTCCCCCGCTAGCCTTGTCTAGCCTAGGCAGGGCCACGTACCACCTGCCAGGTGCCAATGTACCACCGGTGGTACACGTACCATCGGTTGAAAAACCCTGCTTTAAAACACAATTTGATAATTAACATCAACATTTCTTTCTTAAAAATAATTGCTGCAAGATTTCACTTATTATTTGTAACCTATTTACAAAGAAACAACTAGAAAAAAACATTTGTTGTTTTAAAAGTTTTCTCCTTAACAAAGACTCTTAAAGAAATGGAATTTAGTTTTTTAAACAACTTTATTCATTGTTTAAAATTAATCTTATTAAATCTTTAACATTAAAACAGATTGCAGACAGCTCTTGTAGGTGATCTAGAAAGGGCAGGCCCATTTTTTTTTCTCCAGGATATTCAGGAACTTACAAGTTAAGAGCAGTTTGCCTTTCTAGAGTTTTCCACTTTTATTTATAAAAAGAACTCTGGAATCAGGCAAAGGCATGGCAATTTAGTGATGAGTGTTGAGGTTTAAGAGTGGAAGAAATCTTTTAGCCATTTTGAACATGAATTTTGGTAGCAGAATCTTGATGTGCTGAGAAGCACCGTGCAACCCAAGGACTGTCCACCATTGCTATATCATTTCTTATCATATGCAACTGAAAAACCATTTAACCAATTCGAACACTGTTTGTCACCCTGAAAATGGCATCCGAAAGCGGTAAGTGCAAGCAGTTAAAATGAGCACATTTGAAATACAATGAATTCTCCCTCATATAAAATTCAGAAGGCATAATAGTTTAGCATTTAAATAATTTAAAGAAGCATGTGAAATATCAAACACCCAAATATTCAACAATCGGTTAAAGAACCCAAGTTTCATGAAATAACTGTCAGCGATGGCCAGTGCAAAAACACAAGTGTAGAACCACATGTACAAGATGGTATATGTACCTGTTGAGTACAAAATTAGAAGAAAAGAGCATAAACAGGCTCCATTCATTTCCTTGGCAAGTGTAACCAAGCATAGCTATTTCCCAGGCCAATCTACCTAGCCCAGCACCAGGTACCAGGACATTTACTTTGGAGAGATCCCTGAAACAAGAAAAAGGGTTAATCTTTAATTAAATATATTTGAGAGAAATAATGCCAATTCGTTTTGGATCATGTCTTCTATTTCCCAAGCTTGGTTTATTCCAGCAAAAAGTAATCTTCAACATGTTTACTGACTCTACACACAGAAAATTATTCGTTATTTTTAATCCTCAAATTTGCTAAACTTATGTTTTACAATGTATATTTCTTTCAGGTCCTACAAGTGGCCTGATTCTTTTAAATACTGGAAAGCTACTATAGCAATATAATTTCAGAAAAGAAAGTATCTTTGTTAAAAATCACAGGTTGCACTGAAGAATAACCCTAACCCTAACCCTATCCTTGCCTTGTAACTTTTTAATTCCACTTTGTTTAAAGGGATTTCCTCCCAGGTAAATTTGTAAATAAATAAACAATGGTAAGATTACTATCTAGACCGGGGTGTCCAACTTTGGCAACTTCAAGACCTGTGGACTTCCAACTCCCCCAGAATTCCCCAGCCAGCTATGCTATAATCTCTTTGTACTTAAGACGGTGATTTATTTTCAAGTTTACAAATACAGCACTGCATAATTAACTTGCTGAATAATTTTTGAGTCTATAACATACCAGAGACCGATCTGAACCATATCCTTTACCAAAATGTTCTATTCTGTTACTCTGACATCCATACCACTCTATGAAACATGAACACCATCTACTTAGTAATTTCAGTAATAAACACTGTGGTGGCACAGTGGTTAGAATGCAGTATTGCAGGCTAACTCACTAATTCGATGCTGAGTGGCTCAAGGTTGACTCAACCTCCCATCCTTCTGAGGTCGGTAAAATGGGGACCCAGATTGTTGGGGGAATATGCTGATTCTGTAAACCACTTAGAGAAGGCTATAAAGCAAATGAAGCAGTATATAAGTCTAACTGCTATTGCCATTTACAGAATGAAGCCAGTTAACAAATGTTTTATGATCTTCAGTCTGTAATGTTTTAGGAAAATCTTTAAATACAAATCTTGGCAATACTGTAACATTGCCAGCTCATCGTACAAAATGCTACTTTACTTTTTGCAATGGTACATATTAAATCCTGAGAGCCTTGAGCATTACCATGCCTTTTGAGGCATGTTTCAAATCAGCCTTTCCCAGCTTCTGGCCTCTCCAGATGTGTGGAGTTACAGTAATTTCCAAAATTCCTCAACAATAGTTAAGTTGTCTAAAAACTGAAGGTCAGACAACCTAGTTGTTCTAAGCCAAATACAGACATCAAGCCAGAATTATTTCAAGATTTAAAGCAGTCAGCTGAGCATTCCCCAGCAAAATAACTTCCTTTCCCTGCATATGAAAAATATACTATATAAGCTTAAATAAACTTTAGACAATTGCTAACATGACCATGTAAAAATGATAATAAGTTTTAAAACAGAAAATGATACAACTATGAATACATGGGGGGAAAATCCCTTGGGATTTGATACTGGACAGAAATGAACATTCTAAAAAATAAAATAAAAATCAACTGGACTTATGGTCATCAATTGACCTGTATCCCAGTTAACTCATTAAAAGGCTGAGTGGTTGTGTCTTGATTCATTTGAATGTTACATGAAAGATATTAGAACTTATATCATTATTGTTTCTGACAAGTTTCTTTCAGTATAAAAACAGGGACCAATTTGTTTATATTGCTCTTTGTCCATCTTCAGGAAACATCTCTATACACATCTGAATAAGGCAAGCATACTATGAAAGACTTAGTAGAATCAAATGACTGTGAATAGTGACTCAATCTTTAATCAAAGTGAAATGTATAATATAAACAATCAGGAGATGCTGACATTTTTTTCAGACACAAAGCACTAAGCTCATCAGTATTTTAAAGAACTATTTTATATATTAATCTTTTAATACTGCCTTTATTACTTTATGAGTAACTCAAGGTGGCAAACAAACATACTTTTTCCTCCTGCTGCTTTCCCCAAAACAACAATCTTGTGACGTGGGCTGAGAGTGACTGGCCCCAAAGTTATCCAGCTGGCTTTCATGCCTAAAAAGGGACTAGTCTCCTGGTTTCTGGGCCAGCATCTTAAAACCACTATACCAAATATTAGTATCTTTTTAAATAGTAATTTTATTAAAAAATACAATTGGAAAGATTAAAACCAATACAAACTAAAAAATGAAATAAAAAAAATAAAAGAAAAAATAAAAAGTTCAGAAAAGAAAAAGAGGTATAGAAACTAAGGTAAAATAATATAGTAAAGGGGATATATGTCAGCTAGTCATCCCTCTTCATCTCAACAAGTCTAAGCAATTTACCACCTTCTGTTAAAATAAAACAAATCTCTTCTTCCCATGTCCCATATCTTATCTATAAACAAAACCTTAACTACCTCATTTCAGTCCTAATCAGCAAACTATTTAGGGTTATCAGAGATAACAACATTTATTTTAACCTAGATCAAAGAAATCAGCTTTAGAATCCTTCCTTTTTTGTTAACAATCTTGATTTTTAATCTCTTCAAATAATGTACTAGAGCTTTGTTTCTTCTCATTTCTTTTCTTTGATCCTGCCCCAAAAAAATCTTCAAAGCTTTAACAAGTCTTTTTTGTGAATCTAGTATAAGAAAATTAACCAGGCAATTCTTTTGGTTTGTTATTTGTATATCCTTTTTCATTATAATTAAAAATATAATAATTATAACAACATTTTGTATAACTGGTATAGCTTCTTTTTTCATATCATTCTTGTAGCCTGCCATTTTAAAATCCACTTTCAAATAATTGTAACATATAACTTCCTCTTTCATAACAAATGCAGTCTTACAGATGCAGACATTCTTAAAATTAATTTCTGAGCCTACAGTTCCAAAATACTCTCCAATATGTCCAATGTCCAAAAATATTTTGCTTATTAGTAAGTCAAATTTAAGTATTATAATTATAATCTTTAGGTCCTTCTGGTTCTCTCTCAACCTTCCACATTTCATCCTTGTTTTTAAAGAATTCAAACCAAAGCATTTTCCCACAGAAGGGATTCAAAATCTTAATTCAAATCCATCTGGACCCTTCATCCATTTGTAACTTTCCAAAATCAAAGTTATAATCACTCTTTTGCTATTTATTCCAAAAAGAGACATGTTTTTATAAGTCCTTAAACTTGTACTTAAAACCTATTTTGCTAAGGATTGAAGGAAACTCAATGCAAAGGTTCCTAATTTCTGGAAAGCAGTTAACAAGCAATAGTCAAAAGTGATTTGAAAAGGAAGTATGTGAACCCAGTGTCCTTTTTGAAGGCACGAAGTACAATTTCAGCAAGATGGCTATTTCACTGTCTCCAGAGTTCTAAAACCACCAGAATCTTGTTTCACAGTCTTCTTGTGAGGAGCATCTATATAGAGCACTTGTGAGCAATCTCATGTTCTCTCCTTGTCCAGAGAGGAATTAAGAAGAACCAATGTACTTGCTGGCTCTTCATTTGGCCTTGGTTGTTGGCTCCACTTGACTGGATTTAAATACTAATATTAATGTACTGCTTTTGCAAAACCCCAAACCAGTTTTAATTTCACCAATGCATATTACTATATGCATCCACAAATATCGTACTGAATCCTGTGCTATTTGACTGGAAGATTCTGTTCCAGCTAGTACACTGGTGGCTAACCTATGGCACGCGTGCCAGAGGTGGCACTCAAGAGCCCTCTCTGTGGGCCCGCCCGCCATTGCCCCAGCCCTGTCTCCCCTATGGCTCCCTCACCAGCAGCCCCTGGAGGAGACTCGCCCCCGAGCACGGCTCGCACGGAGCAGCATAGCCAATGACATGGCAGCTGGGACAAGACTCCGCCCTCACATCCCGTCATGTGCAGTTGATGCTGTGGGGCGCTGGTGGAGGGCGTGGCCATGGCGCTGCTGGGCCGCCTGGGCGATCTGCGGCGGGCCATGGAGGCGGTGAGTGGCCCTGCTGACGGGCGGAGTAGGGGCAGGCTGGGGGCGATTTTGGGGCACTCGGTCTCTAAAAGGTTCGCCATCACTGAACTAGTAGATAGGTTTGTTAATCTTGGCCTATATTTCTGTATAGGCTGAGGTTGGAATATTGAATGTAATCCAAAATTCAGCTTCCCTGAGTTCCAGATTAAGCAGAAAAGTAAAGTATAAATTGAGTAAGTCTGCACTTGAAAAATCAAAGTCCTTTTCCAACTGAACAAATGATTAAACTTATTTAGACTAGTCAAACTCTTTAAGAAAGGGGTCTTCAAAATGTGGAGCACAAAGAAATCTCGGGATTATAAATTTTTTTGGGAGGGGGGAACGGCTCATTCTCCCTGGGTAACTGTCAGATTTTCTACAGTTGTTTTTATAAAGAGTACCTCTTGATACAAAATAAATGTAAGACAAGAAGTGAAATTAGCTTTCTCAAAAATAAAACCCAGATCTTAAAAAATATGCAAAATGAGCAAGCTCTTTCTTTCCTTTTAAAATATATATTTTGATTCTTTTATTACTTCCAATGAAAAATAATAAATGTGAAATGTGAACTTTATGTCACAATATTCTATCACTTTATTTGCTATAGAGATTAAACTTAATTAAAAAAATAAATGGTATGATTATTGCTCAACCCTCACCACTAATTTGTAGCATTTAAAAAATACTCATCTGTCGTGTTTTGATACTGTTTCCAAAAAAAGTAAACATTCAGAATATTCTGGGATGATTTATTTATGTATTGCTTCAATATGTATACTAAGAAATGACAATTTATTCCTTAACTTTCCAGATAAATAAGCCAAATTACATTCAAAGAACATACTTCTGCTTCTTGAAATAAAGACATATCCCATAGAAATTCTCCATTTTTTTGGTTCTTGGAAATTTAACACTTGTCTTCGACTTTTATTGTGCAAAAGACATGCCAACTGGTCCACTGATTTGGGCTGTCCACACTATAACTTTGCTGAGAATGAATGCATGTCTATAGGATAAAATATTTCAAAATAGATCAGTTGATCAACACTACTACTTAATTAAAAAAACACCGTACTGTACAAAATGGGGGAAAAACTTTATCATTTCAAAAGAAGGGGGAAAAAATAACAAGAAAAATGCTAATCCTTAACATTTACTAATATTCCTCCACAGTTAAAAATTCACGGACATATATCCCTTTTTCCACAAATCTGGGTGGGGAAGTGGGGGTTCTTGAGAAAGTCAAACCCTTTTATTTAAATATATAAAAACTTACCGTAAATTTTTCTATATTTGAAGACATTCTTGAATGCCTTGAATCTAACAAGGGAAGGGTATTCATGTTATATTATGAATGAGCTTTTTAGCTTTTTTTTTCTTCAGTAATGCAGTAGCAATTACATGCTGTGTTAAAGTGAGATTAAAACAGACTTCGTTTTTCCACCTTAGCCCACCACAGTTATCAAATGAATTCTCTCAACACAGACAAGGGAAACATTAGACTGTGGGTCAAGACTGCCATGCTAGGTCCATTTAATAAAGAATCTCAAATAACTAAAAGTTATCTATAAAGAGACTACTAATACTACTGCTATTTCCTTCCAATGGTTTATTTTCTCTCTGCCGGAGTACAATATGTTTATTAGGCCTCACAAAAGAACTGTGGTACCAGAGAGCCTTTTAGTTCCTTTCATCTCTGGCTCTTAAAAAAAATTAAGAGGAAGATATAGCCAAGTCATCTGTGGTTTTCTCAACATATCTTTCCAAATTATGTTACAGCTAATACAAAGAGCTATCTTATCAGAGTTAAGGGGTATTTATTCTTGTAACTATAAACTTTAGTCTCTTTGCTGATCTGTTTAGTAATAACAATTAGATTTTAAGCAAAGCCATTTAAAAAGATGGCAAACATTTATGACATTTTTTTTCCTTATGACCTAAACAAATTTTCAAAGACCAGTTCCAGTAACCTTTACCACAAATGCGTTATTGTGCATATCTTCTCTTTAAAAAAATATTTTAAAAGGTATTTACCATATCTCTTTTGGAAAATTCTTTACAATTTCATTAATGATAGGCTGATAGCAAGAATCTCTCTCAGGTTTCCCAGTTTCACTCCAATCTCTTACAAATTGTTTCAGAGTGGATTTTAATTTATCCATGTCAAAAGTTGAAGCTGGTGTAATCTTTCCATTTCCCTAATTTAAAAAAAAAGTTAGCTACAGATTAATCTGATACATTATCATAACATCTTGATTAATATAAAAATGTAGAGCTAATAACTATATCCAAATCAGCTCTTAACACGTTACATGATACTGTCATATAATATACTGTATGTAACACATCAAAAAGTTGACATTTATTATTCAGGATAAAAGTTGTTTGGTGAGCCTTTTCTCAGCAGTAGCTTCTCACTGCTGTTCATGTGTCTCTACACCCTATATCCAAATATAAGTCAATACTTGCTTTGTCGATAAGGTGCTGAGAGTACATATTACATTAATTTATATTTAGAAAGATAAGTGATAAAAATAAAATCTGGAATACTGTTTTGCACTATAACTGAATATCAAAACCTTCAATAAGTCTCAGGACATAGGGATAAACTAAAGATAATAAATAGTGGTCACCTGTAGAAAATAAGAATTAACTTCAAGCAAAAAACCAGGGTAGAATTGGAAAAGATCTAATTACTTTTAATTTCAAAAGTCTGAAAATCACAGAGACAAGACCAACTTTGAATGGGTGGGCATAGCTTTTGTGGAAATAAAAATTATGTATCTTCTATTTGTATAAACATTCCTCCTTATCACTAATTAAAGAGAATCATGGTTTACTGGAAAGGACTAGAATGGTATTTTATTTGTAAAATCCAAGACAGGTTTTATCAATTTTCCTACAACTTTCTTAATTTAACTTAAGAAACATGAAAACTATTTTCATGTGTAAAAAGCCCATGTATGAATCACTAAAGAAATTTTTAAAAATTAAAATAAGTTGAATACAAGAAAATAGCTTTTTTAGAAATAAGATGTTCAACATACATCACCATCATATTCTCTATTTTCAAACATTCGGGTACAGTCATTCACAATAGACTGCAAGATCCCTTGATTGTGATCAACACATTTTCGAATCTTGTCAAGATGAGGAAGAAACTGAGGTAATAATTTCTGTTGCATGGCTGGAAGAGTCCTAAATTGTCTTTCTGCACGATTCACTCTTTCATGCATATTAGTTCTAGAAATTAAAAAAATGAGTATCAGAAATAATGTCAAACAAAGTTCTCTTGATATCAGTCGTGTAAATTTTCAGTGGATTCCCATTTGGAAACGTTTTTTAATCACATATGTAAATTTATCAGAACAGGTATCATTTTACCCCAAAGTCAATATGCCAGTTAGAATCCTGTCAAAATTAACAATTTAGAATCCTATGAAGTTCAGTGTTAGATAGAACAATGATCGAAAATCTATTTTATATTAATAACAAATGTGTGTCAGTTACTTGGATCACATTGTTTTAGAAGAAATAACAAATGCATATAGCCTGTCACCAGTAGCCATTTAAATTTATAAACTTTGCAAAGCAGCACACAGATATTTTTTCAGAAAACTTTCTAAGCAGAAGGTAAATGTATTTTAAAACTTTCGCAGAATTGTTGATTTCATTCTGTGGTGGTTTTAAATTGTTTTAGGTTTATTCTGTAGGTGTTTCAAATGGTTCTAACACATTGGAGACACAATGCGTTTTATACACTTTAAACTGTTACACCTTAAATTTTTACATTTTACATTTTTAAATTTATATGGAATAAATGTGCTATTGTAGAAATGCAATTAATAAATATAACATTTTTATTAAAAAACACAGTTAAAAGATCACAAATAGCCTATGCTAGGGTGAGCTGCAGATTTGGCGATTCCATTACTTTCACAGACACAATTGGCTACAGCAGGGGTGTCAAGCTGCCGGCCCACAGGCTGGACGCGTCACCAAGAAACCGCACCCACCCTATGAAGAACAAGCTCCGATACGTCGCGCGATGTCATGTGACGTCGCGAGTTTGACATGTCTGGGCTACAGGTTAAAAAGTGTTGAAATTCATTTTGATGGATTCCTAACACTAACCACAAACTGAAAAGTAAATAAATTAATATGGACATGGCAATAAATTTGGAAGTGATAATTTAGAAAACTTCATAAGCTGTGTAATTGACATTGGCATGTTCATCTGCTCTATGATTTTGAAAACAGAAGTGAAACAATCAGCATTTAAACAATCCTCTCCACAACTATTCAGAATTTTGCTATATTCAATAGGTCTTATTGCCATGAAACTGTATTGTTTGTTTTTGTTTTATGACTCTTCGTGACCTAATAGACCTCATTTCTCCAACTTTATCTGCCAGTAACAGCTATTTAAATGCTTGAAGGGGCATACACACATGATCAGTGCTATTATCTATCCATTTTGTCCTCTGTTGGTCTCTTTTTTAAAAAAATCACTTTGATATTTCCAAGCATCATGACCTTCTCTAAGTGACTCTTGCCTACATATTACGTGTCCAAAATATTTAAACTGTAGTTTTTTATGAGTTCTTCCACAAATGGTCTCATTTTATTTCTTTAATATTAAATAATTTGTTCTTCATATAACCCAAGATAATCTCAACAATTTTTCCAGTGGCACAACTCAAAGAGATTAATTTTTCTTCATTCAGACTTTTTGAGGATCCAGTTTTTAAAGCCATATGTTACAACTGGGAAAACCATCGCCTTCAAAATGCATCCATGTACTTAGGTGTGATGTCTCTGCAGTTAGTTATCTAAATGTGCCGTAATAATTCCCTTAAATAGGAGACATCATTTCATGATTTATATAATAAAAAGATATGCTCTAAAACAGTGGTGGCGAACCTATGGCACGGGTGCCAGAGGCGGCACTCGGAGCCCTCTCTGTGGGCACACGTGCCACTCCAGCCTCGCCTCCCCCACGATCCCCTCCTCTCCAGCAGCCCCCTGGAGAGTCACCCCTAAGCGTGGCCCACATGGAGCAGCGCAGCCAGGGACATGGCAGCCAGGCAGCGTAGACAAGACTCTGCCCTCACAGCCCATCGTGCACAGTTGATACTGCAGGGCGCGGGCAGAGGGTGTGACCGCCATAGAGCTGCTGGGCTGCCTGGGCGATCTGCGGCGGGCCCTGGAGGCAGTGAGTGGCCCTGCGGGCAGGCTGGACGGGGGATGGGGGGTGGAGTGGGGATGGGGCAGGGGGTGGAGCGGGGCGGGGCCAGTTTTTGGGCACTCGGTCTCTAAAAGGTTCGCCATCACTGCTCTAAAACAATATTCCAATCTAAAACAGTACCCCCAAATGCTTCCATGCTAGACCTCTCATAATCCCCACCCACAATGGCTAAGATCAATAGGAACCCTAAGAGTTAGGTTCAAAACATCTGGATGGTGCCAGATTGGCATCCTACTTCAGAGTAAGTCCCAGTGTACTCAGCAGGGGTTAATTTATGAGTAAGTTTTATTAAATGAGTATCTCAGCTTTTTTCCTAGAGCTTAAGGCTAATTGTGAGGCAAATTGAGCTGAAAGAAAGTGAACTGGCCCCAAGTCTCTCAATGAGTTTCCATGATTGAGGCCGGGCTTCAACTGGGTACAGTTAGTCTTCGACTTATGACAATTGAGCCCAGAATTTATGTTGCTAAGTGAGAAATTTGTTAAATAAGTTTTGCCCCATTTTATGAGTTTTCTTGCCACATTTGTTAATCACTGCAGTTGTTAAATTAGTAACCCGGCTATTAAGTGAATCTGGCTTCCCCATTGGCTCTGCTTGTCATAAGGTCACAAAAGATGACCCCGGGACATTGCAACCATCATATGAACCAGTTGTCAAGCTCTGAATGTAAATCACGTGACCATGGGGATGCTGCAACGGCCATAAGTGTGAAAAATAAGTCATAAGTCACTTTTTTCACTTCTGTTGTAACTTTGAACAGTCACTAAAGGAAATGCTGTAAGTCGAGGACTACTTGTATTTCCGGCCCTTGGTCACTCAAGCCCCCCCTCCGTCGAGATTCTGCTATGAATAGGTGGGTCCCTGAGTCAGGGGTCCTATGCTCCAGGTATGGGGGATGAAGGCTATCAGAGCAAGCGGGGGAGTGAATCGGTTACCCATAGTAACGGAAGGCATTGATAATTCTCCGGAAGTGCTCCCGTTCCTGCTTCTCCTCCTCTTTTCCGTCCACCTTGGTGGTCGCCAACTGCTGTAGCGAGTCCGGCTCGCACCGGGTGTTTCCTGCCTCCGCTTCTCCATCTCGTGTGCCCAGCTCCGCCTGTTCTTCGTCTTCCTCGCTCTCCCGGCTGTCTCCGCGCATCGCCTTGCCTCGCGGCGGCGGCTGCTGCCCTCGCCGGGACACAGCGCACGCGGAGGGCACCGACATCCCGGCCGCCTTTCCCCGAGGCCGCAAGCGAACGGCCGCTCCGACTCCACGCGCCTTCTTCCGCGCATGCTGACGCGCTCCCGGATTCATAGAGAACAGCTGCAAGGCGCCGGTTCAGCCAACCATCTTTCGCGGAACGCGACTCTCACGGCTCGCGCCCGAACACGGCTACCCAATGCGCAAGCGCGTGACACGAGAAAAGAGGGCGACCCGCCAGGCATGCGCATTTCGGCGCCGGCGCCTGGATTGAGATGATTAGAGATGAAGCAAACCTTTTGTTTCGTTCAGGAAACAAGCTGAATGAAGGCTGAAGCGATCCTGGCTAGAGACGTGCATCGTTTCCCGTTTGTGGCACGTGACTTCACAGCGTTTTGGTTCCGACCGGCGTTTTGCATCCTTTGTTCCTTAGCCAGAAACGAGAGGTTGGGGTTCTGCATTTCAAACTTCTACGTAACCGATAGGACTCTCACGTAAGCACGGATGCTGTTCACCATGAGCTCCCCACCCCATCCAGTGTTGAATATCTGCAAAGGTTCCTCTAACTGCGAATCTATTTCAAATCCCCATTAGGGACGCTTGATAAGAAGGATTACCATCCCTCTGGAAGAAAACAATAGGCTGAAATTTTCATGGTATACTTATGGAGAGGAACTCCATTTGAACATTTCACGATATGGGCTTGCTCAGAAATCTGCATGGGTCAAGTCACAGGAAAACTTCTTAAATTCAGGAGCGAATTTAGTACTTAAGGATGTATTAGTAAATGGTCCTTTTTGGTTTCTTCCCAAAACGTGAGTTGAAATGACAAGTTTCCATTTTTTTTTCCTCTTAGAAAAGCAACAACAAAAAATAAGCAATAATACCAAGGACATATTAGAAAATATTAGCCCAAAGTATTTTTCTTGAGATCGCAATATATTCTGTAACTTAGTGAGAAAATTAGATTTCTTAATAATGTGCATAATGGTAATGATAATAAGATAAAGACAATACTGATGAAGTAATAATGTTAGAGCTACCATGTTATAGATTTCCCTACAGGACCCTTTTTTATATATACTTCTGTTTCAAATGATTTTAAATACTTTTTATATATAAAACTTTTAATGGTCAATTATTTTCATTAAGATAGGCACTTTGGCACTTGCTTAAAACAGTAATCCAGGGGTGTCAAACTCACGTCATGTGATGTATCGTGACTTTTTTGCCATTGCCGGCAGTGGGGTGTGTGCAGTTTCGCTATGATGCAGTTTGACACCCCTGCAGTAACCCATTTTTCAAGCATGGTTCTCAGTCTTTTATGTATAAAATAGAAAGCTTTATTAAATTTCAAAAAATACAAACTAATATATAGGGAAAGAAGGGAAGGGATAAAAGGGAAAAGTTAACAAGTGACCAAAAAAACCCCCATAAAACAAATATATATAAAAAGTGTCAACCAACTTTTTTCAGTACAATTATAAAATGCAACAACCTCTAAGTTTTTGACAATATTTATTAAGAAGAAAGGGAGTTAGAAGAATTGCAACAACTGAATTGGTACCAAACCACAACCAATATATCCCATAGTACAGAAGAGCTGAGTTTTCTTCATTTAATTTTTACTGCTTTTCTGTCAACTGGCAAGGAGGTGTGGGATGTTCTTCAGTGATTCATGAAGGAAGTTAAGTGGTTGTTATGAAACTATCCAGGCTGGGAACCCTATTTATGCATGCATAACAATGCCTTGCTCACCTATAGAAAAAAGAACAAAGCCTACATTAGTTCATAGATGTGCTGTATCTTTTCCTAGTCAATAATCTGTTTCCAATGTTAATATAGCCTTAAATTATTCCTTTTTATTTTAGAATGAACTATGAAAAATGAACTGTAGTATTTGTCATAGTACTTCTTTGCTTTCCCAAAAGCCTCCAATATAAGGCTTCATTGTTACATGCCTAAAGTAGAAATTGATTCAAAGGGATTTATTTTATGTAGCAATTGCGAATTTAATAAACCCTATTTTGGTGTAACTTGTTAATCAAATATGTGCACATAACATTTTGGAAACTGTAATTTTGCAAAAACGATGCAATCATTTTCCCTATAAGTAACATAAAAAAACTTATGATTAAATTTGAATGCCCACTTAAGTTTTAGCTGTAAAAGGAAAAATTAAGTGTTCTGGGAGGATCTCAATAAACCTGGGTTTATTGCAAGAGGCATTTTTTGTAACACTTCTGTGAAGATATGTTTCCTAATACTGACGGACTTTCTCCAGCAAGTTTACTAATACTGACCTATATGCAACACTTGCAGATTACTGGAGATATTATTACTCGAATGACCCAATTTTCTGGATATTGGAATTTTTAAAAAAGATGAACATTTAATAGCCATCAATTGCTGTTCACAGTCTGCCAGTACCTGCAGCAGGATTTATTGGAGAGGGATGGTCTTAGATCACACAACGAAATAATAGCTGTCCAAGGATACGAAGAGTTGAACCTGTACTTCTGTGGGACCAGCTTATGTTTGTCAAGAGGCTTTCAACAGATTTCACATATACTGGGAAACACACATGTAGAAATCTAATGATGCATACGGCATTATCTGCAGTTTACTTAATGCAAATGATCTTAACTCAGGCAAACTACTTACTTCTCTTCCAATGCCTCCATTGTATCATTATATATCCTTGAACAGAGGTCTTCCTGTGATTTTGTCCCATCCAAGTAAACTGCAAAAGGTAGAATACAAATGCAAATTACTTTAGCAGAGGAAAAGTCAGTGTCGCTTTATTGCTGAGAAGGGTGGCTTATACATTTAATAAATAATAAAAATATATAAATATAAGCTGTCCACTAGCACAGTTCATACAGAGAGATATAACTTAAGGTCCCATGCAATCCAAAAAACTAACAGTGAACACTAACAGTGTGAGCTTATAAATATCTAGTAGTTTAAGAAAACATTTGGGAACTAGGAACCCACTTATCACATTCATAGCTGTTCACCTTTCACATAAATGCAAAGAAATATTGAGCAATTTTTTTAAAAAAAATATAGGAACTATATATTTATAAATATGGCTATGCAATATTTATGCAAATATCACAGACACTTGGGAGAACTATAAGAAAGTTAATTGTACCAATGCTCATTCCATTTTCTTCCATTTCTCTCCTGTGTTTCTGATACATGGGCCACACATGTCCATCAAAGTAACCAGGTGGGTCTGGTGGACTGTATATTCTGTTGCTACATTAAACAAACAAACAAATGAACAAAAACCAAAGTAGTTCTTATTAGTTTGGTAATCTTCAAATGGTTTCTTTTTTCTGTATTTCACTCCTAGATTTTATAATCCAGCATTTGATATTGTTCAGTACTACTACTTTTAAGCCATTTTCATAATTTTTGTCACAGTCCCTCAAGCATTAACATAATGTTTCTAAGTTTTGATTCTTTAAAGCTTTGTAGCTCTAGGGAAATAGTTGAGCACTTACAACTTTTTGAATATAGCTGAACTACAAGTCCTTATAAGCCCCAACTATCATTAATTCTACCATTCTACGATCAAGAACACAGGAAGGATCACAAATTAACCACCTTCAAATTAAATCTTTATTACAGCCATAAGACCAGCAGCATCTACATCCTGTGTTCAGAGATAATCTTCATAATGATGTGCCTCTAGCTGTACTAGCAAATAACAATATTGTCATAAGGAAAGATCAGTCATGCTGATCTAAGTAGATTCCATTGTGTCTTAGATTCTATTACAGATCTGTGCAAAAGACCTACTGCTTCCTGAAGCTCTGAGACAAGATTGATTTCCTTCAATGAAGATGATGCTGGGAATGGTCACCCTATTTTTTTTGCAATTGACAAAAACATCCTGTCCGCCCTGTCTCAGCTTGCACCTCTAAGTAAAAACGATCCTTGGCTCCATTTGTTGCAAAAGGTAACAGTTGTATTAGAAGTCAAGTGAACTGCAGTAAAGCAAAGCCAGAACTGAAATTCGTGGGCCAAATCCCCAAGTGTAATTTCCCCCTCTTAGGCATTTCCCGCTCCTGCCCCCCCCTCTCCCATCGTCCAATCAGTTTCAAAGAATATGTTCTTGAAATGGTCACTCTGGGTATAGGCTGGTTTGCAGCTGCATTCTTCTCCCAGGGGAGCAACCTTGAAACGTGACTCAGAAGCAAACTTACTTCCATTACTTTCACTCCCCCCCCCCCGCCTATGGATCAAGTGAACACCCATCCATGGGATGCAGGCAGCACATGAAACCACGCCCCCTTCAGTCCGCAGGAAAACCTCTCTCCATGGAACCAGTTCCTAGTGCCCAGAAGGTTGGGGTCTGCTGCCCTAAGCATTCCCCCTCCCTTTCACCCTCCCCCCAGGACCCATGGCAGACTGGCACCCAGCGACAGCAGTAGCGCAGGGGTGAGGTGGCCGTTCTGATACATTCTTCTGCTATGAAGGAAAGCTTTCTCTTTCAGAAAAAAAAGTAGAGACAATCACTCCCTTTATCTTTCTGAATGAAGGTCAAGTAGCAGTCAATTCCCCTTTCCAAACACCAGTTCCAAATGCCGCCTGACCAAAGGGAAATCTGGTCCATGGGCTGAATATAGTCCTCCCAACACAGAGACAGCCTAAAAGTGGAGCTTATTTTGAAGTATGTCTTAAGAAGAGAAAGCTTGAGGTGCAACTTTACAGAGAAAGGAGAAACAGTGGATAAAGGGGAAAAAAAGTTATATTATGCATTGCTTTTAGGTATACCGTACCTTCTTCGCCTTTTACACTCTTCATAAGGAATTGTTAAGAAATATTTTTTATCCCATATATCACTAAGGGGCCTGCAAGAGTAAAACGACAAGTAAGGCATGCTGGTTTGCCATACTGCAGTTCTTGTAAATGTTAAACAACTGCTTACTTGTAGTTAAACAGAAGGAAACCTTCAATAATTAAGACCCGAAAATCTTTTGCTCCTGTCTGATCATCATGTGTATTATTGGGTGATCTTGGTAATGCAGAGTCTTCTGGTTTTGTCATCCAAGAACGTATGCTTGCCACCATTGTCTCCATGTACAAGGCATCAAGTACTAAAAGACATACTTAAATCTTAAAATGTAAGGCAGCATTCCCAGTCTGCACTCATTCTGTTCATGAGACACTCAAGAGCCAAAGCTTGAAGTATATACTGAACAGAATGGGAGAGTTAGGACTTACTTTAAATGGTAGAAGATTTTGTTATTTTGAGCATTCAGCACTATCTGAGAAAATGCAAAGCGTGTTTACTGTTGATTAATCAGGACTGGAAGCAGGAAGGTTTACAAAGTGATAGCAAGGTATAGGAGCAACAAATCCAGTTATTTCATTATAGTTCACAAATCTGTGAAATTCTATGCAAATAGCAGAAAAACGGGGTGTAATGCTTTAAGGACAAATTAAAAGAAACAGCAGATTAATAATTTCCAAACAATAGCAAGAAAAAAACCCAATTGTTTCAGTTTCTCATATATAGTTTGGATTATACTAAGTTTTAAATCTTTATCATTTAGTATATAAAATGAAATAGTACATCCTTCTTTAAGCAAAATGAATTAAAATAATTATATGAATTCTTTTAAGGCAGCAGAATGTCATGCTTAAAACAGTTGATTACATTTAATTATTCAAAGCTATATGAAGGAAGTAAACTAACACATTTATTTATATAATCAGAATATATTACTGGGGGTTCCCTACCTTTAAAAATGGTAAAAAAAAATGAATTTGGAAAGTCTGTATAAGTTTCTCTGCATGGCAAAAGTGTAGAATCAAGGCATTTTTCTAATGAAAATGTTTGAGGTCAACTGGGGCAAATGTCTGTTGAATTCATTCACTTATGCTATCTCTAAAGTACTTACTGTATTTTAATGATTAACTGCTTTCCATTTAAGTGCTTAATGAAAAATATTTATATCCCAAAAATAAACTGAATTTTGTAGGCACTCACGTCCTTTTCAAGAACAGAGAGCTTTAAGAGAATCCTAAAGCTTTTACATAAAATATTTTTATCCTAGAGAGAGATTCATTCTTCTGTCTTTTCCTTTCTCATATCTATTTCTTTCTGCTAGTTTAGATATATAAAGAGGTGATAATGTGATTCATCTCATTCATATGCGATGACTTCTACAATTTCCAAAAGCTGATTATGCTTTCCTAAGCCAATTTAATTTATGGTGAATTCTTATTAGGCTGCAATTCACAAATTTAATAATTGCCTGCATTGCACAACAATCAGCACTGTCTGAATCTGAACAAGTTGATCACGTACACATTTGTTGCCAAGTATCTTATATTAATAGCTTTTAAACCAGGTACTTGATTTTGTAAGCAGAAGCAGTACATTTGCATTTCAAGAACAGGCCATTTCCATTACAGAACAAGCTTTTATAAGTAGTTAAACAAAGCAAAATGCAGATTTCCTCTGAGCACTTGACTGCTGATACAGTACATCTAGGAAAGGGAGAACCAGAATGAGCAGAGAAGACCTTCACTGGCTAGGAACAAAAAGGTCCTTTCTTCTCATTTATAAATAGGATGTCTTTGTGCTATGGTACAAAGATTAAGACAATTGAAATATCTGTTGAAAATTGTTTTTTTCCAGTACTATAGCATTTAATTTATTTTAATGTTAACAGATACATGTGTACAATTTATAGGCCACTCAACTCTGATAACTCTAAGTAACTTACAGTTAACTAGTAAGAGCAATACAATAAACAGAACAGAAATTATAACTGGCCCAAGAAGCCAATCCAAAAGTGGCCCAACCATTATCCTGCCCGGAAAGTTGGGAGAATAGCAGGGCCTTTAATAGCTTTTTGAATGCCATCAGAGTGGGAGCCATTCAGATCTCTGTTTTGAGCTTTCAAAATATCAAAAAACAGAATATTTACCATCATACTGCAGAAATCCACGATCATCTCTGGCCACTTCAGATTCAGGCTAAAGAAATCCCAAACATATTATGGAGAGTATGGTAGAAACCCACAGGATAAGTGGCTGAAAAACTTAACACGGGGAGGCAATTTATAGCTAAAGTTAACAATATTGCCCCTATCATTCTGTACCAAGTGAATTCATTTCCTGCGTATTAATAAAACAAAAAAACAAAATGGCACCCCCACACAAACCATATTCTTTCATTTAAAAACTGATATTTGCCAAGTTCATTTGATATTTACGATGTCAAAAACAATAAAAAAAAAATCAAAGATTGAAATGCTAGGCAAACCATACAGCCAAACAAATGATGGAGAATGGAAAAGCCAGCAGTAAAAAACACAAGTTACAATCATATGACGTCTTGCTTAATGACTCCATGGATTAGTGATGGGAGTTACCGGTCCCAATTGTGGTCATTAAGCAAGAACTACATGTAAAGTTGCTGAGACTAAGAAACTATTGGATTGAGAACTTTGATCACACCTGGTGAGTCATATTAACTTCTGATGTTCATCAGCGCACAGACTTAACTGTAGGGCAGAGGGAAGCTTTGTGGGCACTGGAATAAAAAAAAACTTAAATCCACTTCTGCAATGGAACAAAATATTCACTCAAACTGTAAAGTTTTTCTTAAGCTTGTTACCTTAAAAAAGTTATCTTGGGAAATTATAGTACAACTGGGAAGCAGTTTCTTCAGCTTTCTCGCCAGAGTTGTTTTGCCTCCATTTGTTACGCTGAATTGGAAATGGGGAAAAAAGGGTGTTGAGAAGAACAAACCGTACAATAGATAGCACTATTAATAGCTTTGTTTACTCTGCAATTGCTTTGCATCCGATCAAATGTAATTATTTTTTTAGCTTAAGTAGCCAGAAGGTTATTTATTATAGTTGCATAAGGGATTTCCCTGTCAATTATCTTCTACAGAATAAATGCACAATGATTACTCAGTGTTTTGCCTTTTTTTCTTCCTGAGAGCAGGGCTCTTAAAAGTATTTGTGTGGTTGCAACAGCAAAAATATTAGGACTAGAATTGCAACAGCAGTGAAAGCCACAAGTTCATATACATTGAATATTTTCACAATACAATATAGGTATAGATTTAGACATTCAGTAAATTTATTATTACATAATCATAAAGTGCCATAACTTTTAAAGGTATTTTATTGGTTTTAATTGTATGCCAATCATAGCCAGTGCTGAATAGTCTTTACAAATGTAAATTATAAATAAAAATTATAAATAAAATAAAATGAAAAGAATCCACACTGAACAAGTGGTTGTTAAACAAGGGCCACCTGTATTTAGAGATTTGGATGCATAAAATAAGAAAAGAGGATTTTAAATTCCCGTTTCATACTTACCCTCCAAGTCCAATGACCAATGTTTTCATTGTTCCTTTACAATCTAAACATTAAATTGAAAGGATAAAATTAAGAGCATGTTCATTAGCTGTTTTTCTTAACTTATGGAACTTTTACATATTTTTTGAAATTGTACTAGGTCAGTGAGGGACTCTGTAAAAGTAGACTAGACTGGCCGCTTTTTGAAAACCACATAACAAGTTTAAAAACCCACGTAGCTTAACAGTGACAACAATCAATCAAACCACAGTCGAAATATAAAGTAAAAGAACTATAAAAGGGAGGGTTGGACGTAAATGCAGTCATCATCTTTGCCACACCCCTATGATTCGGTGACCATGAAAGAATATAAAGTGTATTTAGGAGGTTGTTGAGTTCTAATCCCACTTTAGACGTGAAAGCTCTTTGGGCCAATCTCTCAGCCTAACCCACCTCACAGAGTTGTTATGGGGAAAACAGGAGGAGGAAAGAGTATTCTGTGTGTTCACCACCCTAAGTTACTTATAAAGCAATAAAGGTGGCATTAAATCTACTAAAGCTAAATAATAACAAAAGAAATATGTGTCATTTAATGAGAATCATTTGCCTATCCAGGGTCCTGGAAGAGTTAATACTTTTTCAAGCCAAACATACAGGATCTTTTCTCCTGATGCTTGGTTTCTAATCTCTTGATCATTTTATGGCTTTTACTGCCTCCTCCAGATTCTTTGAATCCTTCATGAGATGTGGCACACAGAAAAATACAGTGTTCTGTACATGGCACAGGGCCTGATTACTTGAGGGTTCATCTATCTTCCATGGTTATCTGCCCAGCCAGTTTGATCCAGTATGTGGACATTCTCTTGGTTCCTTCAGTTAATCTCAGGAAGTGTGTCTGCTATAGCACTTCCTCTTTTGAATGAGGTTCTACCTGAGACCTGGATATCCCCCCCCCCATATCATCTAAATTACCAAGTCAGTAGTAATCACAGGATTACATTTTTAATAAATGATATTACACGACCAATCCAAAACAAGTTAAATTATTCCTGGGATTTGGACACTATTCTTCTATTGATATGGCATAAAGTTGCATTGGATTTTTTAATATTTATGTCACACTGCAGAGGCATAGTCAACTTGTCAACTTCATCTACAATTCCAAAGTTCTTTCCAGAGTATCAAACCAGGTATCCTCCTTTTTATAGCTATATCATTCAAAACACCTTTTTGGAATGGAATCTGAAGCCCTAATGCACATGAACACAAAATAAGCTGTTTAGTTAAAGGGAAACATTTCACAATGTTTTATTTCAGGTTTTAGTGCTGTTACAAAATAGGCAAAACCTATGATTACAAATACTAATAACTATGAAGGCATCTGGATTATATGTTGTTAATTAACTATTATCCTGCAATTGCTTCCAAGTCTTTTATCAGTTACATAAGGGTGAAGGCTTTCAACTCTTTGGGAGTTTCAAAACAGTAGAACACAGCTCCAAATTAAAATCTAAAGCAATGTTACATAAACAGAAAAGATGCATGAATAACATTCCACAGTATCATCTACTGAACACAAAGTATTTATTCCAATCTTCACTGAACCTGGCAAAAATAAGTTTATATTTACATCAAAATGCCTGTCAGTAAAACACAGCTCTATTCAAATTACACCCTTTGTAAATAAAAGCTCTGTGGTGGTTGAATAAGACTACAGTTCCTAATAAAACGTAAACAGAACAAGAAATAAAGTTGCAGTCAGGATGTGTAATGGCTTTCACAAAGTTAGCAAAGGAGACTCCTTATTTCCTTATTTATTAATTGAGGGAGACTAGATTGGAAGAAGATGTTCATGATTTTTAAATTGGAGGAAGAAAACTGCTAAGCTGGTGACACTATTTTGAAAGATGAAAATGCAAATGATCTACTAACATTAATGAAAGGCAAAGAGCCAAGTGAAGAAAAACTGTTTTAAGATTCGAATGATCTTATTAGCTCTAATAGTGAAAGTCAAAGAGTTAAGTGAAGAAAACGAACCTAAGATTAAATATAAAGACAGCTAAATTAATGGCAGCAGATAAACAACCAGCCTCAGACTTGCCAAAGAACATACTGAAGTAATGGATAGCTCCCGTTTTGTAGGATTGAACATAAACAAAAATGGGACCAAGAATTACACCACGGACCAGGACTTGGTAGGATAGCAGCAAAAGGTTTGGAAGAAATCAGCTATTGTGACACGATACCTGAAAAGCTCAGCCTCATTCAGCCAATGATTTTCCCAATGATGTACTACAGCAGGGGTAGTCAATCTTGGCTCTTTTATGACTCGTGGACTTCAACTCCCAGAATTCCTAAGCCAGCACAGCTGGCTCAGGAATTCTGGGAGTTGAAGTCCACGAGTCATAAAAGAGCCAAGGTTGACTACCCCTGTACTACAGTATGAAAACTGGACTTGGAGGAGGATGGAATTAATAGTATAGTTGCTTCTAAAATCTGGCATTGGAGAAGAATTGTGAAAATAAAATGGACAACCCATTGGATCATGAAATAAATACAGAGTTCTGACTAGAGGCACAAATGACCAAAGACAAGGTGGTCCTTGATGTATGATCATTTGCTTAATTTTGGGTCGTATTAATGGCAGCCTTAGAAAGGCCGGAAAGCATTTGGAAAGGGTGCTTTGCAGCCTAATAAACCACTTCCAATCATCTCAAAAATCACATTTACACACCACAGTCAGATGATTGCAATCTGGGTGCATTGCAACCTGTTTGCACTTAACAACCAATTGCCAAGCACCCCAATCTGCTCTGCCAGCTTCCCTAGAAAATCAATGGGGAAGCCAACTGGGAAAATTGCAAGCTGATGCCACCTGCAAAGAGAATTTCCTCTGATCTCTGGGAGCTGAAATCCTTTGGCAGGCAGGAAGCCGAAATTGAAACAGGATATGGAGAATGGAGATACAGCACAGTAAGGTAATGCAGGGTGCTTTGGGGATGGGAAGCCCCAGGAAGGCCAGGTGAAGGTTATGCATGACTGTCTGTCCATTCAGGCTGAAAATCTTGCTTGGATTTCAGCAGGAAGAATTTCAGCTTCTGAGAGAAGCACCTGCATGTGGTCTTTGCTGGCCTCCCCACCTTTAAGGCACCCAATACGTCTTACCTTTATCTATCTTACTTTCTACATACAGTGTCCCCTTGGCAACCATAAGATTAACCACAATTGGATGTGCAGGGATTGCACTCGTTGAGCGAAGCAGTCACATGATATCCTGCTTGATTACTGGATTGTTCAACTACCAAGATTCCAGTTCAATTGTGATTGTAAGTCAAGGACTACCTATATTTGAGACACATCATGTGAAGACTTAGTTCTGTGGAAAGTCTATAACACTAGGAAAGGTTGGAAAAAAGAGAAGATCACGAGCAAGAAGGTGACTGGAATTTAGTGACAATGGGTGTAGTATTGAGCAATCTAAAGTACCACGTTGAGATCAGAACATCTGGAACAAATCGATAGGGTCACCAAAAGTTAACACTGAACTTAATGGCACATAATTAATGAGTTACCTGGAACAAATGCAGTGTGAATTTATCCTGTGTATGTTCTTATTTACTATATACCGTATATACATATACATATACATATACATATATATACATATACATATATATGTAGGTCTTTGGTTATTCGGGTTTTCTCCCGTGTAGAATTGGAAGTGTCTTGGCGACGTTTCGACGAAGTCACATTCGTCATCTTCAGGCTGGTGTTTTCAGCTTCGTGCTTCCAGCTGAAAACACCAGCCTGAAGATGACGAATGTGACTTCGTCGAAACATCGCCAAGACACTTCCAATTCTACACGGGAGAAAACCCGAATAACCAAAGACCTACATACAAACACCCGCGAAAACCTCAGAAAACATACATATATATACATATACATACACACACACACACACACACACACACACATATATATATTTCATTTCCAGAATCTTACAGATTTCCATTATAACTACAAAGGGGAAAAAATGGAATAAGTACAACTGGTTTTTGATGGATGATGTTAAAACTCTATTGTACAGAAATATAATTTCATCAATAGTATTTTTACCCCCTACAGCAGTCCCTCGGATTTCTACAGTTCTCCGTTATGCTTGTAACCTTCCTATCCTTCCCCTAAGGCAGGGGTCTTCAAACTTGGCCCTTTATGACTTGTGGACTTCAACTCCCAGAATTCCTCAGCCAGCGTGCACGCTGGCTGAGGAATTCTGGGAGTTGAAGTCCACAAGTCATAAAAGGGCCAAGTTTGAAGACCCCTGCCCTAAGGTGAGAATTTTAAAGCAACCACAGAAGAACAACCGTTAAGGAAGACCGACAGCACAGCACTCCAGGAAAGAAAGACAGGATGCGCACAATCGAATTCAAAACACTCGCATTATTATGGCGGCAAGTATTGCCCAAGAGTGTCCAGTCTTGCAATCACACACTTAAAAGAGTTTGCAATCGCGCACTGCAGAGAACAAGGTCAGATGTTCGTTTTTAGGAAAGTTTAATTGTGCAAGGGCTTCTGTTCAGAGGTCCTGTGCAGAAGCAAAAGCAGGCCCTTTGAAGCAAGGTAACAACGCAAACTCACATTTCTCCTCTTCTGAGCAAAGCGCCTGACCCACTCCTGCAAGAAAGCAAAGCGGAGCCCGCATTCAGAACGCAAAACAGAGGCGGCCCGCCTCCGAGCCCCTCCCTCTTCTATCGCCCTATTAGAAGCCGCTACCTCCGTAAACACAGAACGGGGTGGAAACGGGCAGAGGCTACCCGTGCTTGTACACCAGTGTTTCTCAACCTTGACAATTTTAAGGCATGTGGACTTCAACTCCCAGAATTCCACAGCCAGCATTGCTGGCTGTGGAATTCTGGGAGTTGAAGTCCACATGCCTTAAAATTGTCAAGGTTGAGAAACACTGTATGTACACCAAGAAGGCGAGCAGGGAGGTCCCGCCGCTGCGCTCCAATTGGTCAACATTCGCAGCCTGTCCAAGGAGCCTTAGGAACTACCCCTCCCCTCCTGGAGCCGCGCTCTGTGATTCGTCGGCCTGTTATTGGCCCCTCCTTCCCACGCGGAACGCCCCTCCTGGGATGAGTCCCCCCCCCTCGCCTGGTCCCTTCGCTCTTCCTGCCCTGCGGCTCCTTGGCCTCTAGGGGGAGCCGGTCTGCGACCAGCCGCACTTCCTCATCGTTGCAAAAGCACCTTTCGTGCCCTCGCCGAGCGCTCAGCTGGGACGTCCGCCGACCGACCCTCCAGCTTCGTGGGTCGCTCTCGAGCCGCGCCGCTCCAGGAAACCCTTCGCGAGGAAAGGCTTACGGCGATCTGGAGGTGGCGAGCGAGCCGGCTCGGCGCTAGATCGGCCGTCGCGGAGGCTTTGCTTGCAACTTTGGACGCAGCGATGTCCAAGCCGCCGCCTAAGCCAGCTAAGCCAGGTAAGGCAGACGCTGGTCTCCCAAGCCGCGTCCTTTCTCTTCCTGGAAGCCGCCGTCTTGATGTTGTTGCTGCTGCCGTCCTCCCCTCTGATGGGAAGCGGGAGGATCGCGCTGGGAAAGGAGCGAGAGAAAGGGGGTCCTCCCTGACACGTGGATCGGCGGCTTGCTGCGTGCGGCTCTGCCAGGAGAGCCCCGCGGGACGTGGTGCATGTCGCGTCCTAAACTGAGATTTAACCCACCCACCCACCCGCCACCCCCACTGTAGCTCTGGCAGCCTTGAATCGGGCTGGCTGGCTGGCTGGCTGGCTGGCTTCCTCCTGCCCCTTCTCTCCTCGTTGCGATGCGCTGGAGATGGCGAGGGAAAAGGCTCGTTTGGAGAAGAGGAAGAGCTTCTCACTGGGTCGGGTGGGGCTGGGGCGGGAGGCTGTCACTGTCAAAAGTCAGGCCAGGAAGTTGAGCTGAGCCCGGCCAGGCTCCCGCCGGAGCCACCTGGGGGCGAGCGGCCGGCGGCTGCTCCGGGAGAGCGGAAGCTCAAGTAAAAACGGATCGATCGCTTGGCGAGTTTATTTGCAACCGCGGCTGCAATAAGAAAAGCGAGCCGGGCCGAGCTCTGCTGCACGAATGCCGTTGCGAAATCGGCAGCAACAGAAAAAAGACTTCCGCACCCTCGTCTGCAGGCGTGTCAGAGGGTTAGAAAGTGGCAGGTTTCGCCCGGATCAGGGAGGTGGGAAGAGAAAACAGACTGCTTAGCAAAAAAAAAAAAAGAAAGAAAAAGAAAGCGCCGGATGGGCATTAACATACCCGGCACATAAGCAAGCTCTCTTCATATGTAGGGTTTGTCTCAATCGCTTGCAAGACAAAACATGACATTTTCATTCGGGGGCGAAAAAAAGTTGGATAGCATAAAATCACGCCATAAAATTAATTGATTATGCCTTGCTGTGTTTTACAAGTCAGACTATTCCCTTCTATTGGACAGATCATTCATTTGCCCCAAAGGAAGGGTTCTGATTTGATGAAAGGATACTAAGCTGCTGGGATCTGTAGCACAGATATTTCCTGATCTGGAATAATACAGAATCCAACAGAACATTTTCCTGGTATAAGGGAATGTGTGAGAGAGGGAAGTTACAGACACGTTGAAATACTTCAAGACCTGAGGGTTTCTTTCTCCAAAGAGGTTGAATTGATTGTGGGGTGGGGGTCACTGTCGGATGGGACAAATGGAGCAGAGCAGGACCCCAAACTTTAAACTGTAGCAGCAATTCCCAAAGTGAAATTAGTTTGTTGTCAGGGATTGAAAGTGTCCAAAAGAAAAATGAAAGACTTCCAGAGCAGTGCAACGTTGAAAAAAATGTAGATTAATTCCTACAGCAGGAAGTCATGTAACGTTCGACCACATTACAAAATGTGGTACGTAACAGAGCTGTAACTTCTAAAATTATTCTAACCCAGCAAGTGCATATCATTTCTTAAATTTGAAGAATAAAATAAGCATCATATAGCTTTATAAAAATAGCACATCCTAAATAGATTTTGAGTCATCTTACCTTGGCACCAGTACTATAATAAAAAATTAAATACTCAACATCATCATTCTAGCCATTGTCTACCCACTGCAGGATGAAGGCCTCTTCTGCCAGTACGATCCTGAGCTTTCTTTTGCCAAATGGACCCACAATTCTTGCTGATGTGTTGATGCATCTTGTCTTAGGTCTCTCTCATGGATGCTTTTTATCAACTGGGATCCCTTCTATGACTGCCTTGGGCCACCTGCCATCATTTCTTCTTGCTATGTGACCGGCCCACTTCCATTTCAATTTTTACTCTCTAGAGGGCATCATATATTTTCGTTTGTTCTCTAATCCATGTGCAGGTCTTTCTATTTTGTCTTGTAATGCCAAGCCTGTCTCTTTCCATAGCTCTTTGCGCCACTGGTAGCTTTTGTATTGATTGTGAAGTTAGTGTCCATGTTTCACCAGCATATGTTAGAACAGGTAGCACCCACTGATTGAAAACTTTTCTCTTCAGGCATGGGGGAGGTTATTCTTGAAAATTACTCTTAACTTGCCAAATGCCTGCCAACCACATTTAACATGTTATTCAGTTTCCTTTTGGAGTACAATTAAGAATAATTCAGGCAGTAGTGAAAGATTCATGCCACATCAGCTGTGACTTCCCTCAAATCTTAATGTTTTCCTGAAAGACATCAGAAATTTATGGGGTGGGGAGAACTACCCATAAGCAGTCTGGTATAAAAGTCCTGTTCCATATTTTAGCCAACTATAGCTTTTAGACTGTAACAAGGCATAAAAGAAAACCTCAGATGATGGCAAAGCAACTTCACGAAATCAAGAACATTTTATGTGCTGTACACATAAACGTAGTATAATTTGTTTCTTCCTTGAGCAGTTTTGACGGCATTTCAGTATATATATTCAAAGAACAATCAGGAAGGGTTTTTAAGCAGCAGAGCCCTGATCTCAGTCAAAACATACCATTCAATTTTTTAAATGTATATAAATTTGAGGACCCTTTCCATGTGATCTATGTGTAACATTTACCAAGAATCCAAGTGCAGTTTAAAATTTTAAAAGGCATTGTTTTTGTCTCCTATTTTGTTACTTAACAAATCCATTGCCACATTTAAGTTGTTTTGCAGAATACTTACTTTCCATGTAACTCTTGTTTTTAAATTAAAGTAGTCAGAGTCTGTCTAGGGAAATATTGTGGCTAATTTAGAATAGTCCAGTAGTCTCAGAGCCATATCTTAGTAGCCTTACAACATTAACAAGTATTTTACCTAATCCACATAATCAAGGCAGTTTACAATAAAAGTGAACTGTGGAGGTGGGGGAATCAAAACAAGCAATTAATTAAAAAGCCACTGATGCAGCAACATCTATGGCAGCCTTGGAAACTGATGTCACATATTCTCTCATCCAAAATGGGACTTGGCAAATGAGCATAATACGTACTAGGAGCATGCAACTGAGGAATGCTGATACTAAACCTTGTCTCTAAAACGTTAGTCACCTTGAGCAATATTTTGTCAGAAAAGTGAGATAAATTATGAAAATGCTTGTTTAAATAATATTTTGTTGTTTTGCTACCTCAGAGTCAGTGGACTGGACTGGTCCCTGCCGGTTTTTGGAGGGTTTGGGGTTTTTTTTTTTTTTTTTTGCAAGATTTCAGAAGTAGCTTGCCCTTGCTTCTTTCTAGGGCTGAGAGAGAGTGACTGGCCCAAGGTCACCCAGCCTGGCTCTATGACTGAGGAGAGATGGGAATTCATAGTCTTCTAGTTTCTAGTATATGCCTTAGTCTCACTTAGTATCACTTACGTTTCTCTGAGTGGATCCCACAAACCCACTTCAAAGTTAGTTTCAGATCAGTTTCAAGATTCAGACTGTGAACATGACTAAAATAACTATTATTTCTGCTTCATCTGTGCTGACTAAGTTCATTTCTGTAAAACATAAAGATCTATTTTCAGCCACGGCATTCTGCCCAGTTAAAGAGATTTTTGTTAACACAACACAGACTGATACAGTAGGGTAGGGTATAGTCCAGGGGTAGGCAACCTTGGCTCTTTTATGACTCGTGGACTTCAACTCCCAGAATTCCTGAGCCAGGAATTGAGTTGAAGTCCACGAGTCATAAAAGAGCCAAGGTTGCCTACCCCTGGTATAGACAAACAACCAACATTGTATCTGTGCAGTGTACTAGTGATGTGGTCATTTGCTATACAATGAATGCATCTCATACAGGTAGTCCTTGACTTACCATAGTTTGTTTAGTTACCATTCAAAGTTACAACAGCAATGAAAAAAGGGACGTATAACAATTTTTCACACTTATGACCATTTGCAGCATCTCCATGGTCACGTGATCAAAATTCAGACACTTGGCAACCGACTCATATTTATGACAGTTGTGCTGTCCTGAGGTCATGTCATCACCTTTTGTGATCTTCTGACAAGTAAAGCCAATGGGGAAGCCGGATTCAGTTGACAACTGTGTTACTAACTTGTTACTAACTGCAGTGATTCACTTAACAGGTGTGGCAAGAAAAGTCATAAAATGGAACGAGACTCACTTAACAAATGTCTCACTTAACAACATAAATTTTGGGCTCAATTCGAAGACTATCGGTATTACTATAGCCCAGTTTAGCTATAGATGTTGATTCTGCCAACTGAGCATGGTATAACAACTACATTCTTCTTAAAAAGTTAATTCTATTAGATATCCTCCTTAGATAGAACTCTAAGAACGAAATGAAATCTAAGTTTCCATCCAGGAAGGAAGATCTTTCTAATACGGTTTATTGTGTACAATATTTTTTTTTTTT